TCAAATTGAGCTAGAAACCTACAAATAACACAAATTTAATATAATACTATATACTATAGGAGTTAACAGTAAAAAGTTGTATGTTGTGTGTGTAATATTAGGGTTCCTAAACAGTAAACATTATTAACTGTTCGATTATGAGGAACATGATATGATAACTCCCTGCACACTTGACAGTTCATTGGAGAACATAATCAATTGGTACATCGTCTTGGGTCAATAATTTCACATTATTATAACATTTAATTTTGAACATACCCATTAGCATATTCTGCATATAGATTAAACATATTTTATTTCTTGGATTTTACAGTTTATAAATTACAAATATGTTTCTAATACTACTACATATATAAATCAATAAATCCTTTTTTTTAGAACCTATATAAATCCTTATTAAGAAAATAGACATTTAATTTAATTTACATTGTTTGATTATATTACTGTGATGACTACTGCTAAATTTGGAAGATAGTTTACGATGCATCCCTTCTGCTGCCGGAGAAAAATTATAAAATAATTGGTTTGGTCGATTAAATATGGTATAGTTTTAGCGCATAATCCGTATAGTTTTATGAAAACATCGTTTTCAGTTTAGATTTAATTATTTACATAAGTTTTTATTTTATTGATTACTCGAGTTATTCGGATACGTTGGCAGACAGCTAAAAGGAGGTGGTGGATAAGTACTCATTGAGTCATTGAAAATGGCATATCCATATTATTAATATATTTTTTTAGATCTGTATTTCTTATAGAACTATAAAACAAACAAAATGGGTTTTGGAACTTTAGGTTCAAGAAATTAAATATGTGAGACAGCTAAACCTCTTTACATACAAGTACATATAATAACCCATTAATTATATAAGCTGTGGTTTATCTCTAAATAAAATTATTGTTTTTTTTTGGTAAAAATAAAATTATTGTTATACACCAAACATATAATTTTCTTCGAACTCGAACAAATCATTATAACTACTTAACTAAAAAAATTTGATATCATAAAGTTTTGGTGTTTCCCATTTTTAGTTTTTGACATTTCTTTTACTTTCTTCAGTGAAAATTCCATGGCAAAGAAACTAATTCCATTAACTAAATTGTCCATTGGTAACAAGGGTCTGATGGGTAATTATCGTTTTAATAAGATGATCGATATGATAATCATGAGGTAAAAATAGGTGATGTGCTCAAAACAGAAGTTGAACGATAATTATGATTGGTAACAAGTGGTTAAATAGTAAAATTAGTTAACAAAATTTTTCATCCATTTTATATCAAGTGTCGGTTTAAAGCTTAATTTTTGTTCAATTATTAGTGTTTCGTCCATTTCGTCCATTTCCCATTATAGTTAAGCTCGTAACGCAAACTCATGTACAAGATTGAGTTTACCATCACGAACAAGATTAACTTTTTAGTTAATACATCACGAACACAAAGTAATTGTGTGATATCAGTCGCATAAGCTTTTTTTTTTTTTGGTATGCAATACTTCCCATAATCTGATAATCTCTAGATCAAATCCACATGTTTTTACTGTGCAAGCAATATATTTGATACACTCGCAAGTCGCAATTAACAAATTCATGTACTAATTACGCATACTTTTGACTTTTTAGTTAATACATAAAATGGTTTGTTTCAAAATTACTTTGTATCTTTAGAAATACTTTCAAATTATAAGGATTTATGTGTTAGTTAACATAAGATTGATGTTTTTTTTTGTAAAATAAGCTACTAATTCGTGCTTGCTTTATTGACAAACTCGTACTTCTTAAAATATTATATTTTTACCATATGCAATAAACGATATATAGGTTGGGAAAACTTACAATGCAATAAACGATTTTTTTTTAGTAAACCTTTTCTTTCTGTTTTCCGAGTTTTAATACAGTTCACAAAATATAGAATTAAAACAGAAGTTGAAACATTACAAAAATGGGTAGAAAATCCACTAATTAGAATCTGGATGGTTACTTTGAAGCGTTTAAATGGAATAATGGATACATGTTTTCTTTGGAAAAATAGAAACAGCAAATGGATATATGTAAAAAGGAAATATGCAGAATCAGAATTAGTTTATAGTTTTCTCGTAAATAAAAATATTTGTGTTTAAGATACTAGTAAAAATAGAAAAGATGAACTTTCTAAAAAAAAATAAAAATAGAAAAGATGAAGAGTAATGGTTGACTAAAGTTTCTCATGTGGAAGACTAAGACCAGGTCAGTTTGAAACAACAAGACAAACACGCTTTTAGTAATTCAACTTAACCCTCTCGAGTCCTCGACCTTGATTCCTATACTGTCCCTTCTCATAGATTCTCCTTTCAACTTTTTCAAATACCTTTTTTTGGTTCATTTTTTATCGCATCCACTTCATTAATCTTTGACTAAACCAATCTTCCTAGTTTAATAGGACAACATTATGGCCATTCATAAAATAACTGATGAAAAGTTGAAAAAGGTTAGAAAGAGGGCAGAAACATACATAAAAACTACAAGTGTATCATTATTAATAGGCCTTGGTATCTAGATAATTATTTCAGATTGCGGATTCGTTCTAAGAACCATATAGAAATTGGATTTGAGTTTGATTCGGAATATATCAATGAGAACGATTTAGAATCGAAATATTTTTGAAGTCGGTCATTTTGAATTTTCTTATTCCGAACTAACCAAAAGAACAAGAAAAACAACAAAGAAAAAATCATAAAAACTCAAATAATATATCCAAATTGAAACCAAACCGAATCAGTGTTGCAATTAAAGAAAAAATCATAAAAACTCAAACAATTTGATGTTATTAGGTATTTATTAGGTTCTCAGATAATATCAAAACCGAAAACCAAAAGTTATTGTGAAGATGATACGCTCAAAACCTACTTGTAAATAGACAATTGTGAAGAACTGAAGATAATATTATGAAGACACAAACTATATATATATGGTGATAGTGATACAAAAATGTTGCGGTTATACACAATTAATTAGACCGAAAACGAAATCTATTACTCAAGTATCAGAAATGGTTATATATATTCACTTACTTGGAAATCATTTTTAACTTATTTGTCTTCCACAGACCACAGTAATGTATATACATAATACATGTGCTTTATATATACATGGTTTACAATAAGGCCTTTATAATAATTCATCGGCGGAATATTAGCTGCCACAAAGTAATCGAGATCTCGGAACTAAATGCTGGTTGGAAATAGCAGGTTCATGTCTCCAACGTCAGTAGTTTGATAAAATAATATACCTACGTTAATGTGAACCACTTATAGTATACCAAAACAAAAACGTGAACCACTGCATCGAGAAAAATTCAGTGAGAAACT